TCCATTGTATAGAAATAACACATCTTTTTTATTCATCCCTCAGTTGATGGGCATTTGGGCTGTTTTCAAGATTTCACTATGACAAATTGTGCTATAAACATGCATGCATGTATATCGCTATGATATGATATTTTTAATTCTTCTGGAAAAATACCAAGAAGGGGAATAGCTGGGTTAAGCGGGAATTCTAATCCTAGTTTTGTGAGGAATCTCCAAACTGATTTCCATAGTGGTTCCACCAATTGGCACTCCTACCAGCAGTGGAGAAGTGTTCCTTTTCCCCCACAGCCTCTCCAGCATTTGTCATTGGTTGATTTATTAATGATAGCCATTCTTTGTGGGGTGACATGAAATCTCAGTGTTGTTTTAATTTGCATTCCTCAAATGAATAATGATGTTAAAGATTTTTTCATATATTTATTTGCCAGTAATATTTCTTCCTCTGAAAGTTATGTATTCATCTCAGATGCCCATTTTTGGATTGGGTCTTGGAATTTGGGGTGCCTGATTTTTTTTAATCTTTATATTCTCTAGATAGCAGTCCTTTGTCTGAGGGGCAGTTGGATAAAATTTTTTCGCAATTTGTGGGTTTTCTTTTTACCCTGTTGGCGATTTCTTTTGATGTGCAGAAACTTTTCAGGGATCCCAGATATTGATTCTTTGAAGTATTTTCCATGCAGTTTGGTTTTTGTTCATGAACTGTCTGCCTATCCCTGTGTCTTTGAGAGTTTTACCTACCTTCTCTTCTAGTAGATTTAGTGTTTCTGTTTTGAGATTTACACCTTTGATCCATTTTGACTTTAGTTTAGTGCATGGTGATAGACGTGGGCCTCATTTTAGTCTTCAGCATGTGGAAAGTTAGTTTTTCCAGCACCATTAGTTACAGAGGCTATCTTTCTTCCAGTGAATATGTTTGGTCCCTTTGTCAAAAATAAGGTGGCTGAGTGTGTTTGTAGCTGTGTCTGCACCTTCTAACCTGTTCCATTAATCTTCAGGTCTGGTTTTTTTCCAGTATGGTGCTGATTTTATCACAGTAGCTTTGTAGTATAATTTCAAGTCAGGGATTGTGGTGCCTCCTACGTTTCCTTTGTTTCCCAGGATTGCTTTTGCTATTCTAGGCCTTTTGGTTCCAGAGGAATTTTAGGAATGGTTTCTCCAGATAGGTGAGGTATACTAGTGGTATTTTAATTAGGACTGCACTGAATCTGTACAACAATCTTGGGAGTATGGCCATTTTCACAATATTTGTTCTTCCTATCTGTGAGCAAGGAACATCTTTCCATTTCCTGAAATCCTCTTGAAAGCTCTAAATGGCTCACCATGACTACTATAGGGAAACGTGTAAAAGAAGAAACAAGACTTTATTTAGCATTTGTAAAGGAATGGTGCCTAAACCCACTGCTACCCTGTTTCTTTTTCAGATGGAATCAACCCAGGAAATCATGTTGGCTGCCACAATGTATACTATACCTTTTTCCATCTTTTGACAGTTCTCTTAAGGAAAGACTTCATTTTTGAACTCTGAAGATAAGCAGCATGTCTTATTGGGTCCTAGGAATAAGACTAGGGTAGCTGAAAGGACTGATTATCCCTAACACATATACATTGAAGAAATAACCTAGATGCTATTCAAGTTCTCTCCCTGTTTATAATTGTATGACCTTTCATAGTTTTAGCTTTGTTCTCTCTTTTTTCCATTCTTATCTTCATTTTTCTTTCTTCTCAACTCAACTTTTGTGTGCTATGAAGTTTCATTGGGACATTCTCAGAACTGGTGGTGCTGATTCACTGACATATATTTGATATTTTGTACCACTTTATTTTCTGTTACTCTGAAGGCTGTAACAGCTTGCAAGACATTATCAGCTGCCAACTTAGTCTCGCAAAAGTCCAATTAACCGGCTGACTTAGCCACTCAACCAAATGATCCTTTTCATGTGATAACTTTTCCAAATCATAAAATTTATTTAAATATAATTATCAGAGATGGATTGCTTCTGGTTAAATATTTACTACTTTAAAGTTAATTGTTTAAATGATGCAAATATTCTGGTGGACTGGAAAGCTGATTTCATATTTTCTGTTTAATGTAATCTTGAAGTTGTCTCGTTTTCTTGCCTTAGTCAGATTTGTATTCTAAGCAAAATTGTATTGGGCATTGATGATTAATGATAACATTATGAGTCAATCTGTGTTTAATCATCACTTTTGCATAGTATAGAGGGTGATGTTCAAAAAATATTCGTCTAGTCTGGCATGGCTCAAGCATTGCCATGAGATAACTAGGCATTGCCACAGAGATAACTAAAACAGAGGCCCTTCCCTTTATGAAGACAAACATACAAATAGCAATACATGAAGTGGTAAGCATTTGCTACATTAGCTATGTGCAGAAAATATTGAAAAAGCCCAAAAAAGGAGAAACGAAGACTTTCTCTGTGCATATGTTGAAGAAGGAATGGATCAATCTCAAAGTCAAATGTCAGTATACATTTATTGGTAGAAAAATTGAAGTTTTGATTAAATGAATACTAAAGGCAAGGCAACTATCGTACAAGAAAAGGAGAACTGAATAATCAAAACAATAGGGGCTGAGCTGTCTGTGTCATTATATGATTTGGGTGCAAATTGCTTAATATTTCTGTTGCCCAATTTGTTCATGTGGGAACAGGAATGATAGTAATGATAATGAGTATGAAGACCCAGGATTGCTTTTAAAATGAAATTTCCTAATGTTACTTGGCACACTCTTCTAAATCATAATGAATGTTAAAATATGTTATGACTTCATGTTTGTTAAAAACTAAATATAAAATATCAGTGTCCTTTTACCACTTGCCATTTGTTCCATAATTTAGATTAAGAATTTTAAAATGGTTACCTAAGATTCTAAAGTGAAGGGAAAAAATGATCAGATTTTTTTGTGTAAAATCAAAGCTATTTACTTCCAATTTCTCTATAATGTTCCAGTGGTTCTTCTTTAAAATACACTTTTCTTTTCATTGGTGTTTTTTTGTTTTGTTTTGTTTTCTGAGACAGGGTCTTTCTATGTAGTTGCCTGGCCTTGAACTCACTGTGTAGCCCAGGCTGGCCTTGAACTCACAGCAGTCCTCCTGCCTCAGCCTTCCAAATGCTAAGTTTGCGAACCTGTGCCAGCTCTGGACTTTTCTTTGTATGTAGACTTATCTTTAGTTTCCATTGGAATACTTGGAGCACCAAGGTACTGTGTTTTTCATCATCTGTCTCTAAGTTCATTCATCAAATGCTCTACTGTCATTTGATTACTGTAATGGTCATAATTTGGACTTGCCTCCTCTTTCCATACTTTTTGAGAAGTGTACCACCTTATCCATTTATTCTGGGTATGGCTTAGGACTTGCTTTGGCCAATGCAATCCAAAAGTATCCTTGAAAAGCTCTAGTACCTTGTGCTTTACCTGTGTTTCTGCAATTGGAACTTTGTGACAAGTCTAGAGTCACCTGTGAAGGAAGAGCAACTCAGTGAAAACCCTTTCTGCAGAGGCTGTCATAAGTTAGAGGAGCCTCTGACTGGTGGTATACAGGAATACTCAGTAGCCATCAGAGGTGTCCAGTTGAAACTTCAAGAACTTCCCAAATGAGCTCAGTTCTAGCTCCCAACTGACGGAATTGCAAACTAAATAGAATTTCTTTTAGGTTACAATAGCTTGGATGGTTTGTCACTGAGTAATAAATACTCATACATCCACTAACTGGCAGCAAAGTCTGAGCTACACCTCGGATCCTTTTCATGGACAGAAAGCAGTTTACTGATGGAAGAGAGAAGAAACAATTAATATAAATGATTCCCAAAGTGAAAAAACAGACGCAGGAAGATTATGAGCACTTTATTTTCCTTGTCTTGACATTAGCCTTCAGGCTACCTTACCAAATCATGTTTTGCTCAGTGGATCCATACTTAAAGCAGGGGAATGAGCACTAGAAAAAAGCTAAGAATGTCAGTGGAGGAGAGGACTTGGAAGTTGGTGCCTGGGGTACAACTTCAGTTTCTGTATATTACCTTAGTTAGATCACCATCTAGATGAAAGCATCACACATACACAATTAAAATATTAACCCTTAAGATAAACAACTATGTGGGAACAAAATTCCAAAATAAATTGACAGGTTGAACTACATTATCTCCCTGTGTATTTTTAAGCCCTTATAATGAATCTATTTAAATAGTATATTTTATAAAAAATAAAGAAAAAGAAGATAAAAAATTCAGTGAATTTGAAGAAATGACCAAGATATTAACTACGAAGTAACATTCCTTGAACCACTTATATAGATTAAATATTTTCATGCATGAGAGGCTTATTTTGTTTTGGGAAAGTGTCTGCTTCCTAAGGATGAAAAATTTGTTGATGTGAAAACCAGCAGATTAATGCTTTAATTGTTGCTTTATTTCTTTAAAGGGGATATGCAGTTGGAAAAAGTGGAAGAACAAGGGGGACAGTCTGCTACAGATAAAGCTAATATTTTATGTTAAATTTGCAGCTGATACGGTCCTATACTTAGAACACCCTAAAGACTCCATCAAAAGACTTTAAGAGCTGATAAATCAATTAGTGAACAGGCAAGGTATAAAAATCCACATTAAAAATCAATATTTTTACTGTACACCAATAATAGGCTAGCTGAGAAAAAAATCAGAAAAACAATTCCATTCACAATAGCTTTAATAACAATAAAATACTCATGGATCATTCTGACCAAGAATGAAAAGACCTCTACGGTGAAAATTTCAGAGCACAGAAGAAAGATAATGGGAAACACACCAGAACTTGTAAAGATCTTCCCTGTTCATAGAATTACAGAATTAATACTGTCATGATGGCAATATTACCAAAAGCGATCAACCAGTGCAACGTAATCACTAGCAAAATGCCAATGACATTCTTCACAGACCTAGGAAAAGCAATCTTATAATTCGAACATAAATATAGAACACTGCTCTTTCTGGTCATCCTTTCCAAGATGATGAAAAAAGGAAGGAACAAGGGTCGTGCCAAAAAGGGCTGCGGTCATGTGCAGCCTATTCGTTGCACGAGCTGCACCTGGTGCGTACCCAACGATAAGGCCATTAGGAAGTTCATCATTCAAAACGTACTAGAGGCCGGGGATATAGCTCAGTGGCATAAGCGCCTGCCTGGCAAGTGCAAGGTCCTGAGTTCCATTCCTGGTACCAAAAACTAAAATAAAATAAAATAAAATAAAATAAAACAAGAAACATAGTAGAGGCAGCCGCCATCAGGGACATTTCCGAAGCGAGTGTCTTTGACTGTTTCGTGCTTCCCAAGCTCTACGTGAAGCTGCACTACTGTGTGAGTTGTGCCGTTCACAGCAAAGTGGTCAGGAATGGATCTTGTGATGCCCGCAAGGACCAAACCCCTCCACCCCCATTTAGACCTGCTGGTGCCGCCCCACGACCTCCACCAAAGCCCATGTAAAGAGCTGGGTCTTAGCCGACTGAGGAGTGAGTGCCAGCTTGGGCAGCGCATATATGAATGGACTGAAGAAAACTGCCTCTTGGGAAAGAAATAATAAAGTGGATGTTATACTTTAAAAATAAATAAATAAATAAATAAATAAATAAATAAATAAGACCCCAAATAACGAAGCAATTCTAAGCAAAGAAAGTAAGTCTAGAGATAGCAGAATACTTGATTTAAAATTATACTAAAACCATAGTAACTAACATAACATGATACTGTGTCCACCCACTCAGGAAGGTGCAAGGTAGGTTTTCACATGTGAGGTCCCAAGGTTGAAGAAAGCACCTGTGCAAGACATCAGCAACAGCAGATAGAATGAAGCAGAACAGAGAGCCAGAACAAAAACTGCCCGCATCTTTATTGTATAATTCTTCTACAGGTTGTTATCTCATATTTAAATTCTTGCATAGTTCTATAACCAGCACATATGTGTTCATCTGTGCTAAGTCCTAGCTACATAAGTGCATCATCCCACTGTGCACCTGTGCTAGACAAGCAGGGTCACATCCTCAGGTGTCCTTAGAAACTCCTGAGCTTTGAAGCTGTCTGAGAGGTTCCCCATATATTGGCACAAAAATATACATGTAGACCAGCAGAACAGAACAGAGGACAAAAATTAAACCCATGCAACTACAGCTATCTACTTCTGGACAAAAGTGAAAAAATACATTTTGGAGAAAAGGCAGCTCTTTAACAAATGGTTCTGGGAAAACAATATCCAATTGTGGAGTACTGAATCTAGATCCCTATCACTCATGCAAAAACCAATTCAAAATACAACAAAAATCTAGGTCTATGAGAGCTGAAATTCAAATATCTAAAATAAAGCATAGTGAAATACTTGGAGCCTTAGGCACAGGTAAAGACTTCCTGAATAACACTCCAATGCACAAGAAATAATAGCAAGAATCAACAAATGTGACTACATAAAATTAAAAAATTTCAACGAAGCAATGTTGTAGTCAAGGTTTTCAAAGGCAAAGATATAATACAGACACATAATTTATAGGATTATTGTATGATACTTACTGAAAGAGTCAAATACGGAAGAGTAAGGGAGATTTGTCCACATGCTAAAGACCCAAATAATCTATCTGAGGGCTTGAATCCCACAGCAATGTCTTGCATGAGTCCAGCTGAAAACCTAAAGCCCATGGCAATGACCTCCACAAGTCCACCTGGAGGCCTAGAACCCATAACAATGTCTCATGCCAGTCTGTTTCAAGGATATATACTGGAAAGACTCAAAGGTCAGTGGTGGAAGCTAGAAAGCCTGCACCTGTGGGATGAAAGGTTTGTGCCAGCAGGCTGAGGGATCTTCACTGGAGTCAGGAAGCAATGTTCAAAAACCAGAGCTCACCCCAAATGTACCACAGCCACCCTGAACAACAGTGAGGAGCTCCCAAGCTTGCCCAAAGATTAGAACAGCTGAGCTGATATCAGGAAAACCAGTGTGATGTGCTTCTCTAGGAGAATCAACAGCACACTATCTTCCCCTCCAGTTCTCTTTTTATGCTGTTGGCAACAGTCCTCAGATGGGCCATCCCTACCTCGCACCACTCAGATTCAGTTCAGCTGGGTGTTACAAGTTGACCATTAGTCAATCCATCACAAATAGAAACAAAGTGAGGAGACAGACTACAGAATCAGAAGAAATATTTGCTAGTCTTCTAACAGATTAATCTCTAAATATATATAAAGAAATCCATAAACTTACCATTTAAAAAATCAAATAACCTAATCAGTCAATGAGCATATGAATTGAACAGACACTTCCCAAAAGAAGAACAAATTACCATAAGTATATGAAACCATGTTCAACATCTTTAGCCATTAGAGAAATGAAAATCAAAATAAAATCAAGATTCTATCCCATCCCAGCCAGAATGGCTATCACCGGGAATACAAAAAGAAGTGCTGGCAAGCACATGGGAGAAAAGAAACACTTCATCACTGCTGGAGGAAATGTAAATTGGTACAGCCATTATAATCATAAATCAGCTCCTTCAAGAAACCAAAAGTAGAGCTTCCATTTGCTCTACTTACATGACTCCTTGGTATACACCTAACAGGTATTAAAATCAATACATTGTAGGGATACCTGTGTAAGTGTGTCTACTGGACCACAGCTCGTAAAAAGTGAGATATAAAAATCAGCCTACATCCCCATTAACATGTGAATGGATTAGGAAATGATGACATATATACACAGTATAATGCTATTCAGTCATAAAGATAATGCAATTTTATCATTTGCAAGAAAATTGATGGAAATGGAGATCATCATAGACTGAAATAAACCAGAGTCAGAAAGAAAAGTATTACATTTTTTTCCTTGATGTAGAATCCTAGAAAGATTATAAGGAAGTAGAAAGGAGAATTCTATGAGACAGGAAGGAAGTAAGAGGGAGAGAAACAGGGTAGGTATGGGGGATGGATATGGTGAAAATATGTTATAGACACTGAAACCCCCAACCCTAAATTCAGCTCAACCAAGATTTTGTTTTACAAAAGAAAATATGAATTCCCAGAAAAAAAAAATTTAAAATTTTTAATTTACATAAAAAGAGAAGAATGCATCTTTTAGAAATTATTTAAAAGGAGATCTGGGGGCTGGGGATTTAGCTCAGCGGCAAAGCGTCTGCCTGCCAAGCTCAAGGTCGTGAGTTCGGTTCCTGGTACCAGAGAAAAACCAAAAAAAAAATATAAATAAAAAATAAAAAACAAAAGGAGATCAAGTTACCTTTCCCCACTTCACTCCTAATGCATTGCTAACAGCTTTCTAAAAGTTACACAGTATTTAAAAATAATCTTCATGGATAAGCAAAAATTAATGTTTATATCTACAAATCTCAAACTCTTCTGGAAAAAGTATATCTTATTCACTTTTACACAAAGATCTAGATGATGTGCATACATTACATAAAAATTCCAAGTGAAACACTATCTACCCAACAGCAGTTTCCTGCAATTTTGAAAACAAACCCATGTAAAAGGAAAAACAGGGGCCATGAATTTGCCAGATTAAAAGTTATTAAATTAAAACTGTGTGCATCATTATGCTATTAACAGAAAAATTTTGATTGCAAGTAAATTAGGACCAGATTTATGATGGTTTTTGTCCAATACCTCTGGTAACAACAACCTGTTTTTCATAAAATTGCCATTTAAGCTACATTCTTACACTATCTCAAGCCTTCTACTAAGCATCATTGCTTTTTCTAAAGAGTGTACAAGAGTCAGTATCAAAATGATTTTAATGTGTCTCTCAAAATAAAACAATTCTCCTACAAAATAAGCCAATAACCCAAATTTATGTTTATTGCACATTATTAACATTTGCTAGTATATCAGTATAACGCAAATATTACTAAACAAGAGACACCAAAACAGAAAATTTTGAAAGATCAAAATAAATGTCGGTAGAAATTTAATATTTTCTCATTACATCTGATTAGAGAATTTCACAAACCCTGGAGATGAACCAGGCTCTTCCCTTGGGTACCTGCCATTAGAAAAAATCAAATAAATTAACTAACTGAACTGCAAGTTTCTTGAAGTAAGGAGGTCTCATTTGATCTCTACAGCGGTACCTCAGTGCATGACTGATTTCATTTGGAATTTGTTAAACAAACAAAAGTGTTTGGCAAAAATTTGTTGTTTGGCAATCTCCGCATCAAGTGACAAATATAACCACAGACATATTTCCCACAAAAAAATGGCCATCTTTTCAAAAAGATGACCATTAAGTTCATACACCAAGCTACCATTGTATTTTATCAGCATTTCTTTTAAATACCTGGCACAGTTATATGTACCTTATTGGCATTCAGTTTCATTTAATAAGAAATTCCAACTGCATATTTATATTATACTGATAGAAAAGAGGGTGTGTTGTACAGCAAAGGTTTCAGTCTCTTTAAGGGTTTAGCTGAGTCTGGTCTCTTAGAAGACGTATTATTAGGTGTCGAAGGTCAGATGAATGAATGGTGTCAGAACTCTGTAGAGAGAGGTTTCCTGCCTATGGCTATAATTTGCTTTACCAAAAAGGTCTACCAATGTTCTTTTTCAGTTTGCATTGACTAAAATACAGAGAACTATATTTCAAAAAATACCAATTGCCAACCCAGTTGCTCAGGATTACCATAAAATCTGCTATAAGCTTTTCATTCTTTTGCTCTCTCAAAAAACAAGGAGGGGGTTATACAGTAAATACACTTCAAATTAACAATTACTCATAAGGTCTTTTTTCACCAGGAAATAATTTTATAGCTTATAGATTACTTTAGCTTATAAATAATTTGTCTTCTTATTAAGGCAGACATTTACTTTAGTTATCAACGATAAACTACGAGATGTCCACTTCATCTGCTGATAAAAGCAGACTTCTATTTTCAGTCCTACAGGCAACAAAGCTAGATGACAGCATTTAAAATATTTTTAAGGGCTGGGGATTTAGCTCAGAGGCACAGTGCCTGCCTGTCAAGCGCAAGGTCATGAGTTCAGTTCCTGGTACCGGAAAAAAAATAAATAAATAAAATATTTTTAAAAGCCAAACTTTAATATGCATTGCTCCTGCACTGGCTGATTCACTCTCACATAGATTCATTCACTGTGATGCCCTACTATGAATTAAGTTTTGGGGTATTTTCTAATAAGTTATTAGTCTTTTAATTGTATGATCCTATGAGTCAAATTATACAAACTAACTTGAATGGAAATGATTTAACAAGCTGAGACAAAAGAAAATGCACATAGAAAGTTAGACCTCTAATATAACCTCTTTATATTAGCAAGATATGTTTCACTTTCTTTAACCACAGGGGAAATCTTGCATCTACTTGCATTCCTCAGCCGATATCTTCCTGCCATGGCAACATACTTGGAAACTTTAAAAAAAGGATTAGGAAAAGTAAGCCTGAAGTGAAAAAGTGGAACTTCCAGTTTTACTGCTA